CCTGAATGTCAGAAAGATTTTTTTTAATCCATTGCAGCATGCTAGTTTTGCACAGAGCAGAAAAGTATTAGAATGTGTCTGTCTTGTTTTTATCTCTAGAATATAGATGGATGGTGTAGAGTGCTGCATTTTGCATTGTGATGGGAGTGTGTTGCATTGCAAAAAAATGTAGAGGGATTTATTCTTTTTAGCCTTGTCATATATTGGAAGAGTTTTCTCGTTCAGCTTACAGGGAACTGTGTGTGATTGGATGCAGATGCTGTTCACCTGCATCTAGTTTTCCACCCTGCTTCTTCTATTTTCAGATAGGAAGGGGGCCAACGGCACCAATCGCCACTGGTTCATCTTGTCACATAATAGTCTAAAGCATTTCCAGACTTCAAAGGGTCCCTCTTCAGAGCTTGGTAAAAGAGATTGAAGCCTATTCTGGTCTGTTAAATTTGGAGGGATCCTTTTTTAGATGTCTTTTTACCTTCTGTTTCTGGTGCCTTTTTCACAGGTTTCGATGCTGTTTATCGAAGTGATCATTGCCACCAGCACAGAAAGTGAAGGGAAATGCAAAATGTAACAATTGTCATAAAAAGTGGTATAGAGAGAAATTCCCTCAAAGGGGGGTTTCCTATTCTGGTGACGTTTGCCTACAGTCTCCTAAAATACACTTTCATTAGTCGTTTTTCTTAAAAGAAGAGAAAAGTATCCTTTGTACACACCAAACTGCATTAAAAAACCCAACAGAGGTCCTAGTCCTTACCCTTTCGGCTGATAAAGTTTTCAGTTGTCATTTTATGGAACCTTAAAGACTAAGTCCACCCTTTTTTTTAAATTTAATTTTTTTTTTTTCATTGGAATCTGGAAAGTGTTCCAATCACGATCAGTGGAAGGCTGGTGTAACGTATAACGCACAGGCGCCTGTAGACTTTCTGCAGCCGATGATCTGTACCTTTGGGCCCATGTATTCCATTGGAAATTGGTGCCTTTTCCTTTTTTTTTTTTTTTTAAAAGGGACTTGTAGTTTAACTATTCCCAAATCTCAGCCTGGCACCATGTTACACCCCCAATATGGGTGTAGCATTGTAAGAAAGGTGGAGTTGGCCTTTAAGGGTTTAGGTAAAGAGAAAATCAATGCCCATTAACAAACTCTAATGTTTTTTCCTCTTTTTTTTTTGGTTAATGTAGCCAGCAAGCTGGATTTCTCCCACAACCTTCTAGGTAGTGCTGGAGGAGGTGAAATAGACTATATCATTTCCCTAAATTTCTGCAGCAGATCATTGCATTATCAATCTAAAAGTTTGTGGGTGGAACTAGGCATAGCTATTTGATAAAGTTATCAACAGTTCCCACATCTAAGCAACTACAGCAGAAGTAAAGATGACCATGCTGCCGTGATTTCACTCTAGAAAGAGTTGTCCCCATCTTTTTATCTCTTGCTGACTGCATAACACACTTACATGGAGGCAAGGTGAGTGGGCCCTAACTCCCAGCCACCGCATATAGGTGTCCATTGGGCTCCAAGGTTCTGTGGTGAGAACGCAACTCCAGAACATTGACCAAGCTGTCAGTTTGTGATTTGATAGGCTCTCGATCTTGTGATAGTCCATCACAGTGATCATGTGATCTGGAGCTGCCTCCGCCACCTGATGTTACCACCTAATTAAAGGGCCTATCTAACGGTTCTACAGGCAAGGTAAACTGGTATTTATGAATGCTCAGGTTCTACTGATATGGGCAGCTTACACCTGTGATTTTATGTTTGTCCATAGTACTGCTATAAGTATTCTCATCAGCCTAAGGTTAAAGATGAACATCACCCTAACTAGCTGAAACCAAAATATGATCTCCTTAACAGTTCTTGTATGATATTACATTAAAAAAAAAATGCTTACTAGTTGAACGCTCCTGGTTGCTTTCTGGTTTTCACATGCTTGTTTCCGTGAGATCCCCCATGTACAGTCAGGTCCATAAATATTGGGACATGGACACAATTCTAACATTTTTGGCTCTATACACCACCACAATAGATTTGAAATGAAATGAACAAGATGTACTTTAACTGCAGACTGTCAGCTTTAATTTGAGGGTATCTACATCCAGATCAGGTGAACGGTGTAGGAATTACAACAGTTTGCATATGTGCCTCCCACTTGTTAAGGGACCAAAAGTAATGGGACAATTGGCTTCTCAACTGTTCCATGGCCAGGTGTCTGTTATTCCCTCATTATCCCAATTACAATGAGCAGATAAAAGGTCCAGAGTTCATTTCAAGTGTGCTATTTGCATTTGGAATCTGTTGCTGTCAACTCTCAAGATGAGATCCAAAGAGCTGTCACTATCAGTGAAGCAAGCCATCATTAGGCTGAAAAAACAAACCCATCAGAGAGATAGCAAAAACATTAGGCGTGGCCAAAACAACTGTTTGGAACATTCCTAAAAAGAAGGATCGCAGCGGTGAGCTCAGCAACACCAAAAGACCCGGAAGACCACGGAAAACAACTGTGGTGGATGAGCGAAGAATTCTTTCCCTGGTGAAGAAAACACCCTTCACAACAGTTGGCCAGATCAAGAACACTGTCCAGGAGGTAGGTGGTGTATGTGTGTCAAAGTCAACAATCAAGAGAAGACTTCACCAGAGTGAATACAGAGGGTTCACCACAAGATGTAAACCATTGGTGAACCTCAAAAACAGGAAGGCCAGATTAGAGTTTGCCAAACGACATCTAAAAAAGCCTTCACAGTTCTGGAACAACATCCTATGGACAGATGAGACCAAGATCAACTTGTACCAGAGTGATGGGAAGAGAAGAGTATGGAGAAGGAAAGGAACTACTCATGATCCTAAGCTACCACCTCATCAGGGAAGTATGGTGGTGGTAGTGTCATGGCGTGGGCATGTATGGCTGCCAATGGAACTGGTTCTCTTGTATTTATTGATGATGTGACTGCTGACAAAAGCAGCAGGATGAATTCTGAAGTGTTTCGGGAATATTATCTGGTCATATTCAGCCAAATGCTTCACAACTCATTGGACGCCGCTTCACAGTGCAGATGGACAATGACCCAAAGCATACTGCAAAAGCAACCAAAGAGTTTTTTAAGGGAAAGAAGTGGAAAGTTCTGCAATGGCCAAGTCAATCACCTGACCTGAATCCGATTGAGCATGCATTTCACTTGCTGAAGACAAAACTGAAGGGAAAATGTCCCAAGAACAAGCAGGAACTGAAGACAGTTGCAGTAGAGGCCTGGCAGAGCATCACCAGGGATGAAACCCAGCGTCTGGTGATGTCTATGCGTTCTAGACTTCAGGCTGTGATTGACTGCAAAGGATTTGCAACCAAGTATTAAAAAGTGAAAGTTTGATTTATGATTATTATTCTGTCCCATTACTTTTGGTCCCTTAACAAGTGGGAGGCACATATGCAAACTGTTGTAATTCCTACACCGTTCACCTGATTTGGATGTAAATACCCTCAAATTAAAGCTGACGGTCTGCAGTTAAAGCACATCTTGTTTGTTTCATTTCAAATCCATTGTGGTGGTGTATAGTGCCAAAAATGTTAGAATTGTGTCCATGTCCCAATATTTATGGACCTGACTGTATACGCAGGCATACTTCATGTCTCTGCTAGATTTTTGGGGCTTGGCAGAGACCATCAATGTGTCCGTACATGCATGGGGATACCACTTATGCGCCAATGCACTGCAGATCTCAAGTAGTGTCTGCACATGCACAGGATTGAAATCATGCACTTCCTGGGGTGCATGATGTTTACATCCCGGGAAGTTTTGAGTGGCCGATCATATGCAATAGTGATTTAGGTGAGGAATCAGGGAGTGACTGGCAGCACAGATAAAAGGTATTTACCACAAAAAAACTAATGGAAAATGTGTAAAGCTGCTTAAATACTAGAATTTTTCTTTTTTTTTTTTTAATTCAACCCAGTGGGCTGAATGGAAGAAAAATTGACAGATCTCTGTACTAATGCAAGCTATGTTAGTGTGGCAGTCTCCCCTGCTGTGCCTTTGCGTTCTGACAGGGGGACTGCATCCCCCCCCCGGCCAGAACACACTGATCAGCACTGGCAACCAAAGGCTGCCAGTGTTGATCAGATGCTGGTTTTCCAGCATGCCCGTTCGACAGAAGCTGGTTGTAAGATTTGTTTTTTAGAACAGACAGCTGTACACACTGGCCGAAAGCTGTCTGGTTCCTGCCAAACTGACCGATTTCAGCTAATCTTTGGCCCATGTGTACAAGGCTTAAGAGGGAGGGTAGGGTCAGAGCATATGGGGCAAACCCTGTTTTTTGCTATTGAAATCCCACATTGGCAGGTTCTCAGAACTGAAAACACATGCACTGGTGATTTGAAGTGGTTGGAGATGGTGTGTAGTTTGTAGCTATATTTACACTTTCATTACACTGTAAGTCCTTTACATATACAAGTAAATTAGGAACGTTTGCACAAATGACCATTCCCACTCCCTTTTCTTTTGGTTGTCTTCAGTCTGGGTCTGGATCGTCAAAAGTTCTTCCAGTTTAAACCACCTTCTGTTCCTTGTAGACATCAACAGACACCGGCCTTTAAACACACATGCTTTAATACATGCTTTAGAACCTCTGCGTCAGGTGCTACTCAAGTAATATTGCTAGAACAAAAGGCTAGAAAAGCATTAGACCATCCCAACCAGGGGCGGACTGACAACTCATGGGGCCTCCGGGCAATAGGGGATCATGGGGCCCCTGTGTCCTTGCCCAAACTCAAAAAAGCCTATGAAAAAGGTACCAGGGGCATCTCATGGGGCCCCCTACTGACCCTGGACCCTCGGGCAGTGCCCGAGTTTCCAAATGGTCAGTCCGCCCCTGATCCCAACTATATTGTCCATACTGGCCTTAGAATAATAATAATACAATTTTATCTAGCAAGGTACAGGGTAAATATTGGCTTTGATGTGATGCTCACATAAACGACTATATAGATTTCAGTAACTTAGCATATTCTTGTTTATAGATGCCAATTCATCAGAACCTTAAGGACCTCCTGGCCATAAGGGCAGAGCTTCAGAAGAGGGTGGAAGAACTCCAGCGTGAAGCTACAACCCAGATCAGTTTCTTCATCATCAGACCGGGGATCGTCCCCTTCACATTCCGCCACACCAGTACACACGGCTGTCTGACGCTCAGCATGAACCAGGTGGCACAGTGTGAGGATGCATCTTGGCATGCTGCCACCAGTGCTTTCAGAATTTGAGCTGTACGAGGAGTTCTCTTCTGACACATTTCAGGCACAAAGGAATCGATGCAATCTTTCAGGGCTTTTCCCTTCTGCTGGAAACTGCAGCATCCTATGTCAACTGAGACTTTAGGAATGAGAAATTCATCTTCTTGAATCTTGCATGCTGAGAATCATTCCTGACCCCTCTCTATACACACTGTGTAAATAGTGTACTTGTTCAATATTGTTTACAAGCCTTAGGCCTATACCGCACATTCAACCTTCTATTCCAATACTGTTGTACAGTTCCCATATAACTGATCACTGCCTTTGAAAACCTTGTAAGTGAACGTGACCTGCTACACAACTTGCTGGGATCTGTGGTTCTTCAGATTTTATCATGTGTCCTAGCACTGTGTGTAATGAGTCATTCTGATTTTTGTTTGTAGAAGAGACTCTGATCAGTTGTAGGAAAGTAGGAGGTTTTCTGTCATTTGGTAGCCCGATTGAAAGTTGTTTTTGTACTGTAGGCCTTACACTCCAATGCCTCCTAGTAGTGTTATCTAGTGTGGTTTACTTCCCATTCACAAGCTTTGTTTTATTATATATTTTTCCTCCATACCTATTTGCTGTCTACAGTAGTGCAATTTTCAAGTGCTACTGAGCAGATGTTATGTATAAATATGGCCAGTTTCCTACTTCTCTATGAAAGCATGACGCCTGGAAGAGACGTGAGGATATAAACTGTTACATGAACTGACAAAGTCAATATTTTACCTATTTAAAAAAAAAAAAAAAGCATAATACACCAAAAGCCATGTAAAGCTTATCGAACAATGAATGAAAGACGCTTAACCTTGTGTAAGTTATCTTGTTGCACCTATGTATTTGTATAGTGTTTTTACCTCAAACAAAAACTTTTTATCCTGAACTGTGTTTGAGCAAATTATTTTAGGTATACTATAGTATTACAGAATGGACATTGATGCTAGTGATTGATGACTACCTGATAAACCATTGATGTTTATGGGATGAGCAACAGTCATCAGAAAACTGTGTTCCCGGTCCAGTTCAAGTATACCTGAAAATCAGCAATGGGTGGCAGACCCGAATGCAAGACATGCTGTATACGGAGCTGGTTGGTAAGGTAAGGTTCAATAACTTGCAGGTTCTACTGGGTCCCCAGATTTACTTGTTATGGGTTCAAACGCTGTTGCTTTCCTATAGTAAATTCAGCTCAACAGGTCTGGGTTTTAGCACATACAGCACACATAAAAGAGAGACCTGTAAGAGTTTTTTTTAAGGTTATATATATATATATATATATATATATATATATATATATATATATATATATATATATAAAATCTAATATTTTAGATTTTGATTTATTTGATGCTGAGGTGCTAAACCACCCATTTATTTTATTTCTTGGTGTCTCTACTGGTGTGCACATAACGTCTGGGTCTACACACCTGCTCTGGCAATCACAAGGGTCTCCCAAGCTCCCTGAGTTTTGTTTTGAGAATGCAACAGGATGAAATAGGACAAGCACAGATGGATAGAGGGACCCACATCCCCAGGTAAAGAGGGAAAAGTTGGGCACCTTTGCAGGCAAGTTTCTTGGGGGTATCCAATGTTAAAATGTTACTGAACCCACATCAGTAAAAAATCAGTCTGTATGTACAGTAAAGCATGTTTGTTATACTCACTGTGGAGCGTAAGGGGTGTGTAAAAAGGCTGTTTGAGTCTGTCTCCTCTGATTCTCCCTTTCTTCTACTGTCCCCAATAATTTTGCTGATAGTACAAAGCTCTAGGAGTCACTCTGCACATGTTCAGTTTAGTGTGTATTGCTAAAGAGGGTTTTTTTTTTCTTTGGGAGAGTGCATGTGATCAGCACAGGGCCAATCAGCACTGTCCAGACAGAGTGTCAGGGGGTTATGCAGCCTCATAGGACAGTCAGAGCAGAATGAAAACTCCTCCTTCAAGCTTTACCCAGTAGACAGCTGGACACTGATAGAAGGCATAAGACTGCGTTAACTGCTGGTGAAAAAAGGTATTTAGCAGTTTATGTTTACTAAAATAATTGCATTTCTTTGTACTGTGGGAGACCAGATATAGTGAATGCAGGGTCCTGGGTTTAGTAACACTGTAATGAAGCAAGGACTGACTCAGTCTTCAGGCTCCAAATATCTAAAAAAGCCTTTCTCAACCTTTTCAACACAGAGGAACCCTTGAAATAATTTTCCAAGCTCAGGGAACCCTTGCTAAAAATTACTATAGCTACAACAATGATACATTAGTGTGATGGTCAGTGGGAAGAATACTCCTTACATTTGTGGTGGGGAAAATTTGTATTGCTAAAGGAACCCCTAGTAACTTCTTGAGGAACCCTAGATAGTTTCATGGACCCCTGGTTGAGAAACCCTGATCTAAAATATCACTTTTAAATGGACTAAAACTTAAAAACATGGATTGTTTGGAAACTGGCTATCCACAATTAGGGGGCACTGCTAATAAATGTACCGATGTCAGGAAGTCCTTGGGATATGATGATCCAGATGGGACACATTTACTTTCCTAAAGAACATACCGTATTTTCCGGCGTATAAGACGACTTTTCAACCCCTGAAAATCTTCTGAAAAGCCGGTGTCAGGGCGGCACTTTTTCGAGGGGCGGCGCAGCGCCGCCCCCCCTCCTCCTCCAACGGACACTAAGTACAGGGGTGGGCAGAGGGGCTGCTGTACCTTACCTGGCTCCGGTCCCACGACAATCCGGTCCAGGAAGCGTGGCTGCTCCTTCTTTCAGTTCGGCTGCTGGATGGTCACGCGGTCCGCTCGGCTTCGCCTCCTCACCGGTGATTGGGCGCCAGCACTGGAAAGCCACACAGGCGACCAATCACCGGCGAGGAGGCGGAGCCGAGCGGCCCCGCGAAAATCGAGCGACCGAACTGGAAGAAGGAGCAGCTGCTCCTCTCCCCCACTGACACTAACGATGGGGCACTATTCCTCCCCCCCACTGACACCAACGATGAGGCACTGTTCTCCCCCACTGACACCAACGATGAGGCACTGTTCCTCCCCCACTGACACCAACGATGAGGCACTGTTCTCCCCCACTGACACCAACGATGAGGCACTGTTCTCCCCCACTGACACCAACGATGAGGCACTGTTCCTCCCCCACTGACACCAATGATGGGGCACTGTTCTCCCCCACTGACACCAATGATGGGGCACTATTCCTCCCACTGATACCAACGATGGGGCACTATTCCTCCCACTGATACCAACGATGGGGCACTATTCCTCCCACTGATACCAACGATGGGGCACTATTCCTCCCACTGATACCAACGATGGGGCACTATTCCTCCCACTGATACCAACGATGGGGCACTATTCCTCCCACTGATACCAACGATGGGGCACTATTCCTCCCACTGATACCAACGATGGGGCACTATTCTCCCCCCCCACTGACACCAACGATGGGGCACTATTCTCCCCCCCACTGACACCAACGATGGGGCGCAATTCCTCCCACTGACACCAACGATGGGGCGCAATTCCTCCCACTGACACCAATGATGGGGCGCAATTCCTGCCACTGATACCAATGATGGGGCGCTATTCCTCCCACTGACACCAATGATGGGGCGCTATTCCTCCCACTGACACCAATGATGGGGTGCTATTCCTCCCACTGATACCAATGATGGGCCGCTATTCCTCCCACTGACACCAATGATGGGTCACTATTCCTCCCACTGACACTAATGATGGGACACTATTCCTCCCACTGACACCAATGATGGGGCACGATTCTTCCCACTGACACCAATGATGGGGCACTATTCCTCCCACTGACTAATGATGGGGCAATATTCCTCACACACTGACACTAATGATGGGGCACCATCATTGGTGTCAGTGGGAGGAATAGTGTCCCATCATTGGTATCAGTGGGAGGAATAGTGCCCCATCATTGGTGTCCGTGGGAGGAGTAGTGCCCTCATCATTGGTGTCAATGGGAGGAATAGTGTCCCATCATTGGTGTCAGTGGGAGGAATAGTGCCCCATCATTGGTGTCAGTGGGAGGAATAGCAGCCCATCATTGGAATACCATACTGAAATAGCATACCATATTGAAATCAAATCTGATGTTTTTTAATTTTTATTTGGTGTGCGTTGGAAGAGGGGTAGTCTTATACAGCGAGTATAGCTCAAACCCTATATTTTAACAGGAAAAGTAGGGGGTCGTCTTATACGCCGGAAAATACGGTACTTTAATACAGTTGAGAAACACTGGCCTGCAGCCTTCATTTTGTAATAATCTGGATTGAAAAATTGTTATACATTTTAAATTTAGGCACATTGTTATTGTTTTAGCTGTTATGTTATTAAACACATCTGACAGTGTCGAGTCCCACTGGGCAAACCATTATGGTTTATACAGGTTGAATATAATTAATTTTTCATGTACAGGATTCTTATTCAGTTGTGCAATCCTCCCTTTTTGTCACCAGGCAAGTACTCTGATCACAGGTAAGTGACAGGCAGATGCACCATTGTTCCCAAATAATGGCTTCTTCTAATTGTTCTTTCTACAAACATTGCTGCCTTACAGGTCAATACCAGTGTATAATGGTACTATAGTTTACAATAGTTGTTTACATCCTTTAGTATAACCTTTAAATAATTTTTGCCTCCCTTTTTAATACCCCGTACACACGATCAGAATATAGTATGAATAATAATACCACTTTTAAAGCGTTCGTGCGATAATCTGATTGTTAGTACACCGCAATCGTCCGAAAAAAATAGAAGAGACAAGCATGATTTTATCGTACGATAACAGATCATATGATTTTCGTTTAACCAGTACAGTAGGCGTCTGAAAATACAATACAAATACATTACATTCTTCAGAATTTTTATTCAGTCATTAAAGAATTTTTGGAACTTCAGTAACCTCTTTACTTTTGATATGAGACCAGCATGCAAACAAAAACACAGACGATCATTTGTCTGAT